TTCCAGAACAAAAGGGAATGCAATTTTGACAATATCAGAAGGTTAATTAAGAAGTCTGTTAGCCCTGATACAGCTGGCACATTTTCAGTTTCGACTGACAGGACTCAAGACATAGGCCTAGCTAATGTTTGCTCTATAATGCTGTGCTAAGTCACAGGATCTGACAGAGAGGAGCTGGTATCTATGGTAAACGGAGGGTCAAGAGCTAGAAGGACATTTAGTGGATTTGCTTTCTAGTAAGGAAGCCTCTGTCCCAGACTAGCTGCACTGTTGTTATTTTTGTGATTTGGATCCACTGATATTGATTAGAACTGAAATTGGTTCATTCGGGAAACTGTACAAACTTTGAGGATTTTTTTTTTTTTTTTGAGGATGTATTTTTAAGTGTAGTCTGTAAGCTCACTACTGGCTGGGGGAAAAGGAGATTTGGAAATTTTGGAGCTGAAAGAGAGGATTGGGGGTCCTTTATTTTGGCCTATCACCTAAGATGGAGATGCCTCCTCATCGTGGTGGGTTGCCGCTCCTTCTTTTCTGGTGGACCCAGAGTGAACAGGAGGTTATGCCTTCTCAGGGTGACCCATTCCACTTGGGGACAGCCCTACTCTTTTTGTGCTCTACCTTGTTGGAAAAGCAAGGAAGTTCTCTAAAAACATATGCTCAAGAAAGGAAACATATATGCACTGTATACACATGCGTATTCATTTAGTAAACATCAAAACATCTGTATGTCTATGTACTCCTCTAGAGAGGCCTGGGGATTTGATACCTGATAAAAGTCGGGCCCGCAGAGCAGTCACTAAGTGTGTTGGAAATGATGCTTTGTGCTTAGCTGTTTGGGACATTTGTAGGTCGGCAGTAGACTATAATGCGACTGCATTACATACCCAGTGATTAATTTCAGAAACAAGCGGCATGTCAATAATAAAGGAGTCTTTGAGAAACCGATTTAAGGACCTTAAATTCCAGGGATATCCCACAGGGCTTCTAGAGCTCTGCATCAAAAGTTGGTACCCATTGTATACAGAAATGTAAAGTGATCAATGTGAAACATGAAATCAAAACCATTCCCAGTTTATTGCCAATTTTTAATGAGACCTCAAATATAAGATTCATTATTTTTTATTCAGCCGTAAGGAAACGTTGCCACTTAATAATGCATAAGGCATTTCCAAGGCCCCAATTGGAGATGCTGGGTCTAGAGAGACCCTTACGAATGAGAACAGGTTAAAACACCTTTCACCAGAAGAGTACAGGCATTTGAAAAGACTGATCCAGAAGAGGGCAACACATCACATATGTGAGTCCAGACAAGGACAGAGAGCCCAGTTCCTATTGCATCCATGCGGCGTGCCACAGCTGCATTCTCAAGCATTTCAGCCTTCTTGGAAGTGGTGAGGACACCGTCTGTCTAGGGTAAACCGGTTTGGATGTAGTCTTGTGCAAAGAGCATTCCCTATTTGATGGAAAGCTCGGGTCTGTTCTCTGTCCTATCAGTGAAGGAGGGTGGAACCTGGGATTCCACACAAAAGGATTCTTAGGTATGTCCCAAGCTTGCTTGTTTTTGACTGTTCTAGTCCTAAAAGAGGTGAGTCCCAGACAGAAGGGACAACAGTTGCATAGCCACTCTGGCTCTCTGCCAGAGGAACATGCTTCCAGCTTCCATGCCTCCCCTGACAGTGTTATTAAACTGGAACTGTGCGTATGCATCACCTGGAGGGTCTGTTAGACATAGAGTGCTGTATGGCCCCCGACCCCAGGTTTTTATTCAGTAAGTCTGAGGTGGGCCTGAGAATTTGCATTTCCAACTGGCTCCCAGGTGATGCTGGTGCTACAGCCTACGTCTGCACTTGGAGAACCACTGCCCTAAGAGTACCACCAAGGAAACAAAAGAGAGCAGAGCTAGACTGCCCACATGCCAGCCCACCACTGTCTGGGGGAAGTGAAAAGAAAAGGTCCTCAACCAGGGCTGGCTCAGGCCGGTGGAGCTGCTTGTTGAGAGTGATGCTTAGAAGCATTAATTGTGAGACTCTGCCTAAAACATGATGAAATAATCGAAAGCATCATGGCAAGAAGTGAAACCCTTGGGAGGCTATTGACAATTTAGCATTTCCAGTTTCAGTGAGAACGCCAACTACTTATCCAAGGAGGATGTGTTCAGTGGGAGAGGCTACAGAATCAGCTGGGGTTCCCCATTGCCTATACTTTGACCCTCTTCCTGGAGGAACAGAAATGCAAGTATGGGTCTCTTGGAAAGACAATATCAATAGCTTGTTAAGCCGGTAGGAACAGTTTGTCTCTCTTCAGCTGGCTAATCCTGCAGGAGAAGCAGAGGTAGAGGGTAAAAACAGTGAGGTGGGGTGAGGTCAGATGCAGAGAGAGGCTCAGGAAGCAGATCAGGTGTTGTTTTCCAGTTTTGAAGCCAGGTCAGTTTATTTGGACCCTCCCACAAGGCCCACTCAACACCTCTGGGTTGGACTCTGTCCCAAGAGGTTGTTAGGAGACGTGTTTCTCCTAATGGGTTAGGAGAAAGAGAACCCTCCTCACTGGCACTTCCTGGGCAGGAACCTGGGGAAGAGATAGATGGCTATCCCAGAAAAGAACACTGGACAAGGGGTCAGGAGACTAATTCTGATCTTTGCTCTAAACATCAGCATAGCTGTGGGTCAGCCACTTAATTGCTCAAGGCCTCCGTTTTCCCATCAGTCAGATGCAGGCATAGACTTGAGGATCTCGAAGGTTTTTTTATCATTCAAAAGCCAAAAGCAGGTCATGATGCCAGATACCCAGATCCTCTCCTGATGAGCCCTCGCTCTGCCATGTGGCCTGGTCCTGTGGAAAACTGGACCAGGCCGCTGCCCCCCGGACAACTTGTCTGTAGACAGGATTGCCAACCGAAGATAAATGTGAGTGGTCAGGCCTGGATTAGGCTAACAGTCCTCCGATTTCTTGCTGGAGGCCGATCAGGGCACCCCAGGGCTCTTCTCAGAGGGAGCGGCAGGGAGTTTGAAATCAGACTGTCCCCACGCAGGGGTCCAGGTACCTTGCTACACCTCTGCTAGGATCCCAGAGCTACCTCCGTTGTGCGGGTCTCCTAAGAGGATTTCCGTCTTGGTCACAGACAAACTTAGGAAGTGGCTAAGGCAAGAGCGAGTACAAAAACGGGTTCTCTGACTTCTTGTTGAGAAACACAATGACCAAATCTGTAGTTAATTTTACCCCCCTCTCTCAATACCCTGTTTATAATATAAACAGTCAAATGAAGACATACATGTTGTTGTTGTTGTGAAGTCCAGTCTCTGCGCCTTTTGCCGGTTCATTTTGTGGTATTTATTTTGTTTGGGCTTGGAGCGGAGGATATGCCTCTCTAGATGGTCTCCGGCTAGGTGGGGTCTCCGTAGCAGCCTCCCTTTGCAGGCCTGGTAACAACGGAGCATAAAAGCTTCCACGAGCCCCACACCATTGTTACCCACCGGGCTCCCCATGAAAGGGGAACTTGTGTGGACTGCCCCGGCTGTTCTTGGCAGCGAGAATCTCTATAAGGAGAACAGGATGTATTTTACACTTGAGACCTGCTATCCTCGAGTATAACAACAACACTTTTAAGTGCTCTTAATATTAAGCTAATGGAAAACATACTCTGTTTACTCACCATCAAAGTCTGTTTTTCTTCTCTCCCTCCTCCCCCAATCATCACAAACTCCCAGCCTCTAGAACACTCTGAGTATCTCCTGCTCCATCGACCCTACACTCTGTCTCAAGGTTGACCTCTGCATGCTTGATTGGCTCAAGGTGGACTTGAAAAAACTAGGAACTTACCACAGAAACCATATAATCCCCAGGTTGCACAAACTAAATATTTCCTTTCTCACAAAAGTCTCGGTGCTAGAAATGCTTGATTTACTGCTAGATTTATGTTTATTAGTGTGAGAAGTTGTTTCTCCTCACCAGAGAGCAACCAAGTGCAGTAGAATGGAGAAGGTGGGCCACTTTCTCTGGGTGCTGCTGTTATTGGAATGCTGCTGGTTCTCTCCTTGTCACATAAGAGAATATAGGATTCCTCACCCTCAAGATGTGGCCTTGGCCAAAGTTATTTGAACCCCAGAAATCTCAGTCTGTATTCTCCACTGCTTTGTGTTGTAAGAAGCCATGTCTAGGGATGCCCGGCTGGCTCAGCGGTTGAGCGTCTGACTTTGGCTCAGGTGCTGATCCTGCGGTCCCGGGATCAAGTCCCACATCAGGCTCCCTGTATGGAGCCTGCTTCTCCCTCTGCCTATGTCTCTGCCTCTCTCTTTCTCTCTGTCTCTCATGAATGAATAAATAAATAAAATATTGGGAAAAAAAGGAAAAAAAAAAAACAAAAAAAAGGAAGCTGTGTCTATAAGGGGTATTCCATTGATACAGTTCTAGAGTATGGCCCAACCAAGTCCAGAATGCCTAAGATTTCCCTGCCTTTGAAGTTGCTGTGATAAGTACAGCTTGGGAAGAAGTTGTGGGGCAGGGAAGGTGGAGTGGGATGCTCTATTCCAGAAGAAATGATTCACAGATTCACTCATTTCCTACTTGCATATTGTTTTTTGCTTGGGCTTGTCTTGGAAAGTAAATGTATGCATGTTAACCAGCCTTGCAGATACATCCCTCCATTCTACCAGTCAACCCCGTAATATTACCAATTTCCCCCTTACTGTTTACATATCACGTATTATAAGACAATAAGCAAACAATAACAAACAAGCAAATGAACCAAAGGCCACCGCCCCCGCCCCCACAACTAAAACAAACTCCTTCTGTTTTGTCAAAAAAGACTAAAATCAGAAACAAAACAAAATTGTGGCACTAACTTCATTGCTGTTTTTTTCGATACAGGCCTTGGGCCGGTTAACTATCTGCAAGGCTGCTGTAATGATGTTAATCTATTTTAATGGAATTGAAATGTGATATCCTGTGGTTTACGATGCACGTTGTTTATAGCTTTAGTGCTTGATTTTGGGTTTCTTTCACAGATAAACTTCTGCACTGGAGGGGCCTGTCCTCCCCTCGTTCTGCACACGGAGCTCTAATCCCCACGCCCGGGATGAGTGCAGAATATGCCCCGCAGGGTATTTGTAAGTTGAGCATTATTTCTTCTACAAATGTCCATGTGTATAGAGATGAGAGTTTCTGGAAATTACCTTACTTTTTAGGCACTGAAAGGAGTTACTTCCAAAATAGATTGGCATCCTCATATGCATTATTCCATTACTCACTTGGCACCCTCTCCCCCACTCCACTCGGTCCCCTCCCCTTCCTCCCTCCCCTTTTTTGTTTCTTCCCTCCCTAAAGACGTGGAGCCACAGCAGCTCAGCCCTGGGGGGGTCTCCTCCCCAGGGTCTTATCTGGCTCTACGACTGGTGACCATCTACATCTGTGTGTTCAGGGCTCATTTTATTGCTGGACATTCACTTCCATGGCCTCATATAGGACTTGGAGTTTGTCCCACGGTGTACATGTCAGCAGAGGCCAGAACCGAAAGAAGTCAGTGTAGAGTTACTCTAGAGTGATTCTCGTATATATTATCTATGCATTTACATGTGTACTGAAACATGGTATATTTGTATGTATACATGGTGCATTATATACGTGCAAACATAGACAATTTCTACTTATTTTTCTCCTAGTTTTAGAGAAAAATGCACAGCGTTGTTGCTTAAAGTCAAAGATCCCACCGCCACCACCATCACAACCATTAACACCATCCAAGTACTTGTGCAAACCAACTTTTATGGTGGGGAAATTTTTTATGAAATGTAGATCTGTATGTTTTGTAAAAAAAAAAAATGTGTTTGAAAAGATGCTGTTTTAGAAGGTAATACAGTCTGCTTTTCTCTATGTAGTAACAAATGATACAAATGATATGAGTCATGCATGGCTGCAAAGTCGGATGGGGGTGGGGGTTCATTCTACCCCAAACACGAAAAAGCAGCTTTCAGAGAAAAAGAAGCATGGCATCTACGTTTGATTTCAGGAATGTGTTTTTATTTTGAAAGTTTGTGCAGACTAACCCGTTGTGGAAAGAAGAAAAGAAAGGGATACAGTGTCACGGAAAGGAAAGAACAAGATGCTGTAGGAGTTCAGCTAGAGAGGGGACTGGCTTTTAGGTGGGAGAGGTAAAGTCGACCTAACCACCTTGGGAATGGTGTCTGCAGGGCAGGGCATGCGCCCTGAGACCAAATTTGAAGCCAGCTGTTTGTTTTGTTAAGTCCTAGGTAATCCTAGGTAACAAAGAGTTATTGTATGAATTTCACAAGTCCTCAAGTCCTGAGGGCTGGGCGGTGCAGGGGTTAGAAGCACCTCTTGTGCCACCCCCTCCCCAACACCAAGCTGGGCCTAAGCCTGGGTTAGGTCACAGATGGTAGAGAGTTTAGGGGGTTGGACTCAAGGTTTCGAGTCCCTACATGCTGACTGGGTGGGGAGAGCGCTCCTCATTCTGCTGGGGGTGCCTGGGGCCCACACCAGGGCGTGGGAACAGAGCCATCCCTGAAGGGAAGGGGAATGAAGGGAGTGGGACAGTAGAGAGGAGGACCGAGGTGAGTGGCCAAGGTCTGCTGGCCTGGGAAAGAGTTCGGTTCTCTCTCTTCCGCTGACCCTCGCGAAGGCAGGGAGTTGGATTTGAGGGGTGGGAAACTAGGAGCCCGGGGCCTTCTCCCCTTCTTCCTGCCAAGGGAGGGTGTCTAGTTTGCTGGTGCCCATGCTGGCAGGACCAGTTTAGGAGTGACCAGGCAAGGTATGTGGAAATGGGTTGTGGAGTTCCAGAAAGCTCTCTAGCAGAGCTGACCCCCAGGCTACTCCAGGTGCCTTAACCAGCCGCCCTTGGCTTTCAGAGCACTTAGCACTTACCTTGTGGCTTCCCTGCCGGTAGACCACAGGTAGACCACAGTCGAAGGCCTTGAAGGGGCCCCCTCCTGCTGCCCTCTAGCCAGGGCCTCCCCCTGGCCTGGGGTGAAGCCTGGATTCTGGGTTCCAGCCTTCTTCTGGAAGCCCTTCTGGGTGTACAGCGTGGTCAGCTATCATGCTAGGTAACTCATCGAGCCTGGGAGTAATGAAAACTCGCAGTGCTGTCGGACCTGGTAGTTTACATATGGCTTTTATATACGTCTGTCATCAGAGCCTCACAATTCTTTAAGGTACCGTTTTTTATGCTCATTTTACAGATAGGGAACCTAAGGCTCAAAGAAATGGAATGATTGGCTTAGAGCCGGAAGCGGGTAAATAGTAGAGCCAGGGGCCTGGTGTCAGACCTCGTTCTTCTAAATCCTGAGGCTTAGATCACAAGACTCTTTAGCATTGGTGACAATGGGGTTATTCCTTCCCATACCATAAAATGAAATAAAATAAGAGCCAGTAGGTGAGCTAATAGCCGATTTTAACTGTTTGATGCCTGGAGTTCCTATGCTTGGGGCCAGGTCTCAGTTTATTGCTCTAAATCAAAACAATCCCCGTGAATGCCCAATGAGGCTCTCAAATTGAGAAGTTGATTTTCGTCAGAGTAAATGAAGAATATTATTATATTTTACACGTCAATAAATCAATGTAGCCCTAATTTTGCCACGCAGGAAATCAATTCTGGTCTTTCTAAACCATCAAAGATGTTATGAACAAAGTAATTTCACAAATTATGGCAAGTAACACATTTATTGATGACTGCAGTTTAGGAATGGAGACTCTGTGAGCACCGTAATATAATATGGTGCACTGGCGTGAGCCGAGTGAAACACAGATTATATGGTGAAACTGTAATGCATCATTTGCTATTAGTGGACTGGTAATAATTACCGGTTTCAAAGCAGCTCTTTCGATGTAATCTTTCGTCTCAATCGTAACAGCCCTTCTCATTGACATTATGATTACACTAGCTGCCCTCATGATCTAGAATATCTAGTTGATAGGAATACTAAAATGCGATAGTGAAAACGGTATGTTGTATGCTCATTATAAGATAAAATGCCATCTTCTCTGACCCGGTGTGCGAGAGGAGAGGATAACGGCAGAGTGTGAACGTGTTGTAGCACGAGCACATCACTGGCTCTGGAAACAACATTTTAGGAAGTTCAGAGCAGCAAAATAAGGCAGACTTTTCTCCTTTAAGCCTTTTGGAAAGGATGCAGGTGAGATCCGTGATGCGGTGCCGTCCACCTTTCCGCGCTCACCAGGGTCCAGCCTGCTCCGGGGGGGGGGGGGGGGGTGCGGAACCCACGTTGCTAACTACGGGCCCAGGCCTGGGAGGAGTCAGTAGGCTATTAGGAGCTGAAATATGATTTTATGGCATCTGGAGTGATGAAAGCGTTAAGGACTTGTTGTAGCTGACAAATCTCCTTTTTTACTTATCCAATTGGGATTGTCAGGCTAAATGTATGATAATAACACAGAGTCCTAGAGAGGCAAAGGAGAGAGCCACGGAGGGTCACGTTAGTTGGAACCAGATAGTTTTTTCCCTGCCTATTTAGGACCCAAGTCATTGTTCAACAACAACAAAAAATTTATGAAAATACTCTCAATGATGCTTTTTATTTCCCTTGGAAGAGAGGAGGCAAACAAAAATAGGCAGATAATGTGATCCTAATGTCAGCGTTTTCTTTCAAAATCTTTCTGCCTTTTTTTTTTTTTTCCCTCCCTCCACATTAGGCAAATGTTGGAAACCTAATTTTGGTATCTTATCATCTAATCTTGTTAAAGAGATTTACCCAGGAGTGGGATATATTGAGTGAGATTATAAATGCATTGTAAAGTAAATTACAAGGTCAGGGCAGGGAGTCCATTATTCAGACAAGTGCTTGAGCAAGGCTGGCTTGTTTTGGAATGCAAGTGTTTGGGGCTCCTGAGAAGACCCTGCCAGCTTTTCTTTCTGACTTGCTAAATGGAGGAATCATAATTGATTAATTCCTCATTCCCACTCTTTAGCTCCGCAGTGGATTTTTTTTTTTTACTTATTATTATTATTATTATTTTTGCTTTTAAAAAAGTTGCTGACAAACACTAGCTGGGGCCTTAAGCAACTGGTCTAGTCCCCCTTTGAAAAGGCAGGCTAAAGTTTATTTCTCATTTGTGTTTTACGCACTCTTTTTTGGCATCCCTGGAAAGTTATCTATTTTTCTCATCCTTGTCCCTTGGCCACCAACATTTGTGCCCCTTTTAATGCCGTGGTTGACTGGTAAACTGTTAGTTACTCCCTTGGTGTATATATATTTTTTGAATTTAGCTATCTCCAAAAATGAATGATTGTGAAGTCAAGCTGGCCCCTCTTTGCCAAAGTGGCATTTACCACTCTCGGGTTCTTTTCAGCGAGAGAGAAATAATGTGACTTAAGCAGGGCCCCTCTCCAGACGGCTTGGCTACTGGCCAAAGAGTTGACTAGCTGAACTGTATCTTTCTGTTTCTTTCTCAACTGGAGCTGAGGCTCAGCCGAGGGCGCAGGATGTTGTATAATTTGGTTCACGTTGTTAGCCTCTCAAAATAATGAGGAGGAGGATAGTGTAGCATTTCTCAGCCTGCTGCCCGTCATGGTGCTGGCTGCTTTAACTGTTCTTAAACTAGGATGCTGTGTCTGCTTAAGTTGGCACCAGCCACTCCTCCTAACTTCTCCAGACTTGCATTTGTTTGACTGGGGGGACAACTCCTAAAGATTTGATACGGCCTGTTGGTTAAATCCGAATTAAATTTCTCTTCTGAGATTTTTTTTTTTTTTTTGCACCGTCCCCTGAGATAAAAATGGGAGTCCCTGTACAGTGTCGTGGAACCAGAACTGGGACTCACCGATCCCCACACAGGCTGGGGATGTGATGGGAATGTTGCTAGTGTCTCTTCCACGGAATTATTTTAGGAGTATTTTCTCATTTTGAACAATGTCAACAATTAGTGTGTTTCGGGCTAAGATTAAAAGCATCTCTAGGGCCACAGAGAACTGTGATGAGTTGACCTTCTCTTTTCCGGTATGCCTATGAAATGACTGCCTACTCAGAAAGTTCACCTGCCACCCAGGGGAGAATAGAAGGATGGGATTTAGGAAGCGGAGAAGTTTCCCTTCGGGTCACCTTATCCAAGTCCCTCCTCACTTAACAAATGAGGAAACGGAGGCAACAGAGATGACACATAGCTTGCCCCAAACCGCAGCTGGCAAAAAGACTGGAAAAGTTCAGATGGTCGCCCGAGGCTCTGCAGAATGCAGGGATCCTCATTCCCGAGCTTGAGCTGGTCCAGATTTTTCCGCTTTTGGAGACTGGATTTAAAATCCTCAGAACCGAATTGCAATGGCAGAAAGCCCGCCGGGGCCAAATATTCGTTGGGCACCGGACCAGCAGGTGTGCCAGGCACCCGTCGAAGGCCCCTGGGAACACTAGGTCAGTGCGGGCTGAGGCCCTTTGGGGTCGAGTCAGGCTGGGGCGGTGGGGGGGGGGGGAGTGCAGGGCAGGCTGGAGGTGAAACGTGAATAAGCGATTGCTAACGCCCCTCCTCTGTGATTAAACATTGATGTTGGTGTTGTGTTATTTTGCAGGTAAAGATGAGCCCAGCAGCTACACATGTACAACTTGCAAACAGCCATTCACCAGTGCATGGTTTCTCTTGCAACACGCACAGAACACTCATGGATTAAGAATCTACTTAGAAAGCGAACACGGAAGTCCCCTGACCCCGCGGGTTGGTATCCCTTCAGGACTAGGTGCAGAATGTCCTTCCCAGCCACCTCTCCATGGGATTCATATTGCAGACAATAACCCCTTTAACCTGCTAAGAATACCAGGATCAGTATCGAGAGAGGCTTCCGGCCTGGCCGAAGGGCGCTTTCCACCCACTCCCCCCCTGTTTAGCCCACCACCGAGACATCACTTGGACCCCCACCGCATAGAGCGCCTGGGGGCGGAAGAGATGGCCCTGGCCACCCATCACCCGAGTGCCTTTGACAGGGTGCTGCGGTTGAATCCAATGGCTATGGAGCCCCCCGCCATGGATTTCTCTAGGAGACTTAGAGAGCTGGCAGGGAACACGTCTAGCCCACCGCTGTCCCCAGGCCGGCCCAGCCCTATGCAAAGGTTACTGCAACCCTTCCAGCCAGGTAGCAAGCCGCCCTTCCTGGCGACGCCCCCCCTCCCTCCTCTGCAATCCGCCCCTCCTCCCTCCCAGCCCCCGGTCAAGTCCAAGTCGTGCGAGTTCTGCGGCAAGACGTTCAAATTTCAGAGCAACCTCGTGGTGCACCGGCGCAGCCACACGGGCGAGAAGCCCTACAAGTGCAACCTGTGCGACCACGCGTGCACGCAGGCCAGCAAGCTGAAGCGCCACATGAAGACGCACATGCACAAGTCGTCCCCCATGACGGTCAAGTCCGACGACGGCCTCTCCACCGCCAGCTCCCCGGAACCCGGCACCAGCGACCTGGTGGGCAGCGCCAGCAGCGCGCTCAAGTCCGTGGTGGCCAAGTTCAAGAGCGAGAACGACCCCGGCCTGATCCCGGAGAACGGGGACGAGGAGGAAGAGGAGGACGACGAGGAAGAGGAAGAAGAGGAGGAAGAGGAGGAGGAGGAGCTGACGGAGAGCGAGAGGGTGGACTACGGCTTCGGGCTGAGCCTGGAGGCGGCGCGCCACCACGAGAACAGCTCGCGGGGCGCGGTGGTGGGCGTGGGCGACGAGGGCCGCGCGCTGCCCGAGGTCATGCAGGGCATGGTGCTCAGCTCCATGCAGCACTTCAGCGAGGCCTTCCACCAGGTCCTGGGCGAGAAGCATAAGCGCGGCCACCTGGCCGAGGCCGAGGCCCACAGGGACACTTGCGACGAAGACTCGGTGGCCGGCGAGTCGGACCGCATAGACGATGGCACTGTAAACGGCCGCGGCTGCTCCCCGGGCGAGTCGGCCTCGGGGGGCCTGTCCAAAAAGCTGCTGCTGGGCAGCCCCAGCTCGCTGAGCCCCTTCTCCAAGCGCATCAAGCTCGAGAAGGAGTTCGACCTGCCCCCGGCCGCGATGCCCAACACGGAGAACGTGTACTCGCAGTGGCTCGCTGGCTACGCGGCCTCCAGGCAGCTCAAGGATCCCTTCCTGAGCTTCGGAGACTCCAGACAATCGCCCTTCGCCTCCTCGTCGGAGCACTCCTCGGAGAACGGGAGCTTGCGCTTCTCCACGCCGCCCGGGGAGCTGGACGGAGGGATCTCGGGGCGCAGCGGCACGGGAAGTGGAGGGAGCACGCCCCATATTAGTGGTCCGGGCCCGGGCAGGCCCAGCTCAAAAGAGGGCAGACGCAGCGACACTTGTGAGTACTGTGGGAAAGTCTTCAAGAACTGTAGCAATCTCACTGTCCACAGGAGAAGCCACACGGGCGAAAGGCCTTATAAATGCGAGCTGTGCAACTATGCCTGTGCCCAGAGTAGCAAGCTCACCAGGCACATGAAAACGCATGGCCAGGTGGGGAAGGACGTTTACAAATGTGAAATTTGTAAGATGCCTTTTAGCGTGTACAGTACCCTGGAGAAACACATGAAAAAATGGCACAGTGATCGAGTGTTGAATAATGATATAAAAACTGAATAGAGGTATATTAATACCCCTCCCTCACTCCCACCTGACACCTCCTTTTTTCACCCCCTTCCCCCCATGGCCCTCCAGCCCCACTCCCCTCTCGCTCCCCGCCCCCACCCCCACCCCCACCTCCTCCCTCCCTCCTTCCCTCCCTTCCTCCCTCCCTCCCTCCCTCCCTTCCCTCCCCCTGTAGGATTTTTTTCTAGTCCCCTGTGATTAAACAAACAATTACAAACAGAAGTAACGGAAGCTAAGAATATGAGAGTGCTTGTCACCAGCACACCTGTTTTTTTTTTTTTTTTCTTTTTTCTTTTCTTTTCTTTTTTTTTTTTTTTTCCTTTATGTTCTCACCGTTTGAATGCATGATCTGTATGGGGCAATACTATTGCATTTTACGCAAACTTTGAGCCTTTCTCTTGTGCAATAATTTACATGTTGTGTATGTTTTTTTTTTTTAAACTTAGACAGCATGTATGGTATGTTATGGCTATTTTAAATTGTCCCCGATTCGTTGCTGAGCAAACATGTTGCTGTTTCCAGTTCCGTTCTGAGAGAAAAAGAGAGAGAGAGAGAAAAAGACCATGCTGCATACATTCTGTAATACATATCATGTACAGTTTTATTTTATAACGTGAGGAGGAAAAACAGTCTTTGGGTTAACCCTCTATAGACAGAATCGACGGCACTGAAAGAAAATCTCTATGAGCTAAATGTCTGTCTCTAAAGGGTTAAATGTATCAATTGGAGAGGAAAAAAAAAGGCCTTGAATTGACAAATTAATAGAAAGACAAAACAAGTTTATTCTGTCATTTGGTTTTAAAAATATGAGTGCCTTGGATTTATTAAAACCACGTTGATGGTTCTTTCTACTTGTTATAAACTTGTAGCTTAATTCAGCATTGGGTGAGGTAAGGAAACTTAGGACCTAGCATATAATTCTATATTGTATTTCTCACAACAATGGCTACCTAAAAATATGACCCATTATGTCCTAGTTAATCATCATTCTCCCTTTAGTTTAATCGTATAAGCAAAACTGATTGTACCAGTATAAACGCTATTTTGCTCCTGGTGAGAGCTTAAAAGAAATGGGCTGTTTTGCCCAAAGTTTTATTTTTTTTAAAATGATGATTAAATTGAATGTGCAACGTGCAAAAGCCCTGGAATACAACTAAATACATTATTAGTAAGGAATTCATTTTATGAAGATGACTTGTTTTAAATAACGTCTGTTTAAGAACGTTCTGGCACCAAAAGAAATAGATCCAGATCTACTTGGTTGTCAAAGGGACAATCAAATGATAAACTTTAAGACCTCGTAGACCATTTTTAAAAAGAAGAGACTGACAATAAGGTTTGACAGAGGGTAACAGGAGAAAAATATGTGATCTTTTAGCACAACGTGGTACTATTTGCCATTTTAAACTAGAACAGGTGTATAAGCTAATATTGATACAATGATGATTAACTATGAATTCTTAAGACTTGTGTTTAAATGTGACATTCTTAAAAAAAGAAGAGAAAGAATTTTTAAGAGTAGCAGTATATATGTCTGTGCTCCCTAAAAGTTGTACTTCATTTCTTTTCCATACACTGTGTGCTATTTGTGTTAACATGGAAGAGGATTCATTGTTTTTATTTTATTTTTTTAATTTTTTCTTTTTTATTAAGCTAGCATCTGCCCCAGTTGGTGTTCAAATAGCACTTGACTCTGCCTGTAATATCTGTATCTTTTCTCTAATCAGAGATACAGAGGTTGAGTATAAAATAAACCTGCTCAGATAGGACAATTAAGTGCACTGTACAATTTTCCCAGTTTACAGGTCTATACTTAAGGGAAAAGTTGCAAGAATGCTGAAAAAAAAAATTGAACACAATCTCATTGATGAGCATTTTTAAAAAAAAAACTAAAAAAAAAAAAACTTTGCCAGCCATTTACTTGACTAATGAGCTTACTTACTCGGACTCAACATTGCAAGCGCTGTGAATGGAAAACAGAATACACTTAACATAGAAATGAATGATTGCTTTCGCTTCTACAGTGCAAGGATTTTTTTGTACAAAACTTTTTTAAATATAAATGTTAAGAAAAAAAATTTTTTTAAAAAAACACTTCATTATGTTTAGGGGGGAACTGCATTTTAGGGTTCCATTGTCTTGGTGGTGTTACAAGACTTGTTATCCATTTAAAAATGGTAGTGGAAATTCTATGCCTTGGATACACACCGCTCTTCAGGTTGTAAAAAAAACATACATTGGGGAAAGGTTTAAGATTATATAGTACTTAAATATAGGAAAATGCACACTCATGTTGATTCCTATGCTAAAACACATTTATGGTCTTTTTTCTGTATTTCTAGAATGGTATTTGAATTAAATGTTCATCTAGTGTTAGGCACTATAGTATTTATATTGAAGCTTGTATTTTTAACTGTTGCTTGTTCTCTTAAAAGGTATCAATGTACCTTTTTTGGTAGTGGAAAAAAAAAAAGACAGGCTGCCACAGTATATTTTTTTAATTTGGCAGGATAATATAGTGCAAATTATTTGTATGCTTCAAAAAAAAAGAGACAAACAAAAAAGTGTGACATTGTACAGATGAGAAGCCATATAATGGCGGTTTGGGGGAGCCTGCTAGAATGTCACACGGATGGCTGTCATAGGGGTTGTACATATCCTTTTTTGTTCCTTTTTCCTGCTGCCATACTGTATGCAGTACTGCAAGCTAATAACGTTGGTTTGTTATGTAGTGTGCTTTTTGTCCCTTTCCTTCTATCACCCTACATTCCAGCATCTTACCTTCATATGCAGTAAAAGAAAGAAAGAAAAAAAAAAGGAAAAAAAAACAAAAACAATGTTTTGCAGTTTTTTTCATTGCCAAAAACTAAATGGTGCTTTATATTTAGATTGGAAAGAATTTCATATGCAAAGCATATTAAAGAGAAAGCCCGCTTTAGTCAATACTTTTTTGTAAATGGCAATGCAGAATATTTTGTTATTGGCCTTTTCTATTCCTGTAATGAAAGCTGTTTGTCGTAACTTGAAATTTTATCTTTTACTATGGGAGTCACTATTTATTATTGCTTACGTGCCCTGTTCAAAACAGAGGCACTTAATTTGATCTTTTATTTTTCTTTGTTTTTATTTTTTTTTATTTGGATGACCAAAGGTCATTACAACCTGGCTTTTTATTGTATTTGTTTCTGGTCTTTGTTAAGTTCTATTGGAAAAACCACTGTCTGTGTTTTTTTGGCAGTTGTCTGCATTAACCTGTTCATACACCCATTTTGTCCCTTTATTGAAAAAAATAAAAAAAATTAAAGTACACAATGTAAGCTTCTTGTGTCCTCATTTGACACACTCTGTAAATTACTTTCAAGAAAATAACAGGTTTTAAGAGAAGGCCAGTCAGTCTTTTTCAGGATTATTTCTATGGGCATTTTGATGCGTGTATCATACCCTAAATGAACATAAAGTGCTTACTATATTAAAATAGACATATCTCAAAACATGGAAATAGTTTTTAGATTTTATAGTTCTAGAATAATTTTCGAGAAATGGAAAGTGTTTTCAGTCTGATGTAAAAAACTTTCCCTTCATCTCTTAGCAGTAATCCATTCAGATATAAATGAAAAATTTACTGGTAATAGCATCTTGAACTTTTATTTCCTTTGGATTTTTTGCTGTTCTTGTTGTCTGAAAGTTCTTTTCTATTCTCCCTTCCCTGCCTTATACTAGAACATAATGTAAAAGAGGTTTTTTTTTAAAAAAAAATCAGCTTTCGTTTCCATATGAGTCTTCATCCCCCAAATAACCTCCCCCCCCCCATAAAAATCCAGAAACGAAGGCATCAGGTTAACAGAGAAAGAGAGAGAGAGAGAGAGAAAGAGAGAGAGAAGTAACCAGTAGTTTAGCCAGATGTGGCAAATCTGTGGAATCAGCCACTGATTTCCTGAGATGCATGGTGGTTTGCCTTGTGATTCTGAGGTCCTAGGGGACCAGAGATGGGACAGATCTTTTAGGTGTTTTTATAGTTTGTTCCTGGCTGTTAGCAAATGAGGGGGGTGGGGTGGGGAATACCCTTCAGTGATCTTTTGCCCAACCAATAGATTTAAGAAATGAAACATAGTCTTTGAAAAGCAAGTTAGGTCCCTTATAAAAACCCCTCCTTAGAAATCTGTGTTGTCAGTTTTACAAATACTGCATGCTGCAGCATCTATTTGCTTTATTAAAACACATACTTCTGTGATACTGTCTCCCTGTTCCCAGTGTAGATGAATGGATACAACGTTGTTCTTCTTTTTGTAAAAACCCAAACAAAAGCTGTTCTGTTGTCTTCTTGTGGTAGCATTTTCGTTGCTCAGTCCTTATGCCCTGGTGCTGTGAGGTGGCCTTTTCATGTAATGCCTTTTATCTGAGGCAAGAATAGTTTTATCCTTCTAAAATACACAGAAAGTAGGTGTATTTTTTTTAAAGCCGGTTGGGTGGGAAGCAGGGAGTGGAGGCAGAGAGGAATCCCGTAAGAGAGGGTTTGGGGCTGGGTACGAGGGCTGGGACGAGATGGACGTATCTGGCAGGACTTGGTAACTGGCAGTGAACTGAGAGGCGATATTTGTGTTTTGAATTAGGTTACTTCACAACTGAATCCAGCATACTGTTAAAGATAGAGGTAGTCCCCAGTGCCATGCTGGTTTTAGATGTGGCGACTTCTGCTCCACCATATTAAATGTCCATAAAACCACTGTATGTCCCTATTACTCTTTTATTAGGAGCTATGAGTGCAGCTGTGCAGGTTTTATATACAGTGTTCATTTTAATTTTTCAGTATATGATGCTCTTAGCATAATTAGGTTTTGCATCCTGACAGACAGAATTAATGGTGGATACTGTATACTTACTCGTATGTTCAAATTTCTTAAATCAAATGGGGACTGGGGAGGGGTGCAAACATCTGGTGATAAATCAAAGATCATGTTTGATTTACATGGTCCCAAAGTTAAATAAATTTATTGGGAGACACGTTCTTCAGGGTACTTAGTCTCCTGACTTACTGAAGCCCTCTTATAAAATATTATTTCTCAAGCCGAGTGAACAATGGGAGCATGAAAACCTAGGCAACAAGAATATCACTTATAAATGGCATCTGTATCTGGAACCCCAAAATTAAAAATCTTAATGCGAAATAACAAGAAACGTGGCCGACAGGGGATAAATTCATGATTTTTTTTTTAAATGAGGAAATACTAAGGACATTAACATTTTTCCGAATTCTCCAGTTTATGTGATACTGCAATGTTCTCTACATACCTGAACTCTTAATGCTTAAATGTTTCTTCTTATCTTCATTTTGAGAACAATTCAATAAACAGGAGCACAGCAAATAACTATATCTCACCGATTTTAACTTAGAAACCCTCCCAGTGCATGGACTGCCTCTGTCCTGAGACCGGTTCCTACCTTCTCTTTGTCTAGGACCTACAAAAGGACCGAAGCCAATACATTTTAAAGGGGGCTAAGAAGTGGGGTGAACACTTGATTCTTCATTTGTACCAGCCGTGGCAGGAAGTGTGAAATAGTTGAGTTTTTTTTCCAGGGCATTCTGTGACAGAACTGTTTATTTAAATACCATTGTTGTATATGTAATAAGTACGTACTGTATATGTTCACAATGCTGGAAGCGAGAATTTGAAAGGAAGTGGCAGTGGGGGGTTAGATATCATTTCATTTGGAGAAATAAGGAAATGGGGTGGTTTATTCACAGACACTAAGTTTGTTAAAAGGTACTGGGATATTTCAGGCTTTCCTGAAAAGTTGTTGAGGAGCCTCAGGCCCCATCCTGTCCTGCTTTGAACACTTGACTCTCAGAGCTTGAGGGAGGAAATACTGCGTTTTCTTTCTTTCTTTTTTCCTTTTTTTTTTTTTTTTTTGTTTAAACCTCTCTCACCCTCTGTGCGCACACACAAACATGATTTCTTATGACTGTGCTGTAGTCGTGTGTTCTTCATTACGATTCTGTTACTCCATCGTTCCCGGGCCTGGTGTGTTCAAGAATGTACCCATCCCATTCTCTTTTCTTTTTCAGACAACTTCCCATTATACAAAAAAAAAAAAAAAAAAGTGGGAATTTTGCCAGTGTGAGGATGGGATTGGCAGTGTTCTTTAAACCTGCTTGGAAAAAAAAAATGTTCCTTAAAAGACTGTTAACTTTTAGAAGGCATGAGGCATTTAGCAAATTTTCTAAGTGTCTCCTAAGGCCCTGCCGCTTTCCCAATTAAGAATAAATGAACCCACCTTTAGAGAAACGGACATCAGAACACGTAGCCAGAATCGGGATTATGTACATTTATTCCAGGGCTGCTAGAGCCACGAATGGTAGACATGGGTCGTTGGGTGTGCACTTTTGCTTGCTGTCATCTTGTTATCCCATTAGCCCTCTGTTTCATTCAGTAGAACACATGGCCAGTGAATCAGCCTTTAGGGGGATGGGTCTGTTTCTCTCTCTCTCTCTATTTCCCAGTGTCATCTATGGTCGTGGGATGCGATTAATTCCTCCCTTTCACACGGGGAAAAGGAGACCAATTCAGGTCACCAGGGTCATTGTGCTTGAGAACCTAAGCTTGCCTGAACACAACTCCAACGGTTGATCCAAATACTGTTTTTCCTTTCTGTAAAGTGCCAAAGACTACTCAGAGGGAGGCGGATCTCAGGTCCTGGTGATTCAGCAGAAGAGGCAAATTAAGCGATTTCCCCAAAGTCTACCCGGGGCCGCAGGACCCGCCCCGCCCCGCCCCGCCCCCGGCGCCCCCAACCCCACCGGGGGGCTGCGCTCCTCGACCCGGGGTGAGCCGGTGGCACAGGCCCAGGCCGGATTCTATCTGTCAGGGCTTTGGATGTCGCTAGCAGGTCGGACAAAGGGGTGCGGTGGGGGTGTCAGCTAGACGGGCCGCAACGACAGTGCCAGGGCCGGACTGGGAACGGGGTTCCCCAGAGCCCACCTGGAACACAGGCGGCCCCTCAGCCCGGGTCTCCACTGCGCAGGGGAATCCGGGAGAGCAGCTGAGCTCCAGCCCCTGGGCCTCCTGCGGCGCCAAGTCGGGGGAGAGGAGGCCCCAGGCCCGGCTTCGGGTCGCCATGGCAACGAGCCCTGGAATGCCACCGTGGTGGCCCTCTTCCTCGGCACATCCGGACTCCCAGTTCTGCTGCTTCAAGTCACTGTGCACAGCAAGGGAGGACCCCCGGAGGACAATAAGCACTCCCTTCTTCCCTTCACCATTGCCTTGCCCCCTTACCAAAAAAGAAAAAAAAAAAAAAAAAGAAAGAAAGAAAAGAAAACTGCATGTTTGAAAGACAACTACAGGCAGTTTTTGGTGCCATTTGGGAGCAACTATTTTGGGTTCTGGTTTCCTCTTCAGAGATTTGTTCGCCTCTTGTAAATCGTTGGCTGCTTTGACGTTGAACTTGATGACATTTCATGTTTTCGTTGTGCTGCTTTCACATCAATTTTGAGTTTCTGTTTCTTTATAATTTTATTATTATTTTAAGGAAATGTCCCCCTTCCCTCCTCCCCCGACCCCCCCTGTTCTCCTCAACCAAAGGACTGTTTCCTACTCAGTTTTCTCAGTCGTAAGGGCAAGTGTTTCCTCCCAGGTGTGTCCCCAGTTTATTAGGACAATCATACGAGATCCGAGAGATGTGGTAGCGGGTCTGGGGCCGTGGCGGGGGGAGGCGGGGAGGGGGAGGCCGGAGATCTGGGGTTGGGGGGGGGATTGGGTTTGAAATGGTGTTTAAGATGCCAGTGGCTCAACCTGTGGTGGATTTAAGTCGTAAATTTAAAAAGCTAGTTAGAGAACAGAAAATCACTGGGCCAAGTCACACCTGTACTTTTTTTTTTTTCCCCTTCTCTGTCTCCAACCTCTTTCTAGGTTCTTCACACACCCCCATTCGGCGTAGTACCCAGAGAGCTCAAGATGTGTGGCAGTTTTCGGATGGAAGCTCGAGAGCCCTTAAGTTCTGAGAAAATTTGAAGCCCCCAGGGGCGGGGTGGACGCGTGCCGCCCAGCCGACATCTGCGTGGTCTGTCATCCTGCTAGTTTGTGATGTTTTCTGACAGTAGCCTCCAAGAAGCCGTTGTGCGAAGACAGAGTCCTGCAGAGTCCTTCCTGCCCGGGCCTGCAGTGCCATTTTATTTATATTTTTTAATAAAAAGTAAAAACAAAAAAACAGACCCACATTGGAACAGTGAAATCAGTCCCATATAGAGGGCGCATGGACCATCGCTGTCCTGAGTGACGTCCTGGCCCTTTGGAAACCAGCCAACCTAATTACCTGTATTGTGGAAATGAGCATGAGTCCCCCAACCCCTTGTTTCTATACATTCTATGTTGTCTTTTAAAAAGTGTGCTTAACATTGAACACAATAAATGTTGGAGCTTTAGGTGGTGTTTGCTTGTTCTTTAATTATTAATGCTTATAAGACAGTGCAGCTGCTTATGACTTTGTATCTCTGTACCCGTCTCCTGCAGACATCCATTGGGTGGGCCGGAGGAGCAGATTTGAGGAATGGGTAGGAGGTGTAGGAGGGGAAAGAGGTTACTGCTTATCAGATGGCATAAATTTTCAAGGAGAATCAAAATGCAAAACCTGGGAATAAATCATAGCAATATCATAATTAATGTAGTAGTAGTGTTGCTGTTTATTAATGCTGAAGTGTGGTTTTCCTAACTGTCTGACTTATAATTTGCATACCATTAAATAATGCATAATATGGCACGCTGAATTCTGTTTTTCAAATATATGCTTTTGGTGGCTACCATGCAGGATTTGAATTTGTCTTTTAATTTAGCTCAAGAAAGATAACGTCACTGGGTTAGTGGTAAATCCCAAAGAAGGAGATAAATGTCAGCAGTGGCTTATTAAATATTCTAATTTTAAGTTCCCAAACCTTTAGCAAATATATCATAATACAGACAAACAAACACACATAAAACTTCTTTATTACTTACATTACTTATATGAGGAAATTTGGGGCAGATTTTATACGGGGGAAGACTGTAGGAGGAAAGAGGTTCACATCAGAACACACAGTTATAATTGTGACGTCCATTCCTCAGAAATTAGTGGCACAAGTGAGTTAGGTCTACAAACAGGTGCTAAAAATCCCTTCTGGTCCAGTTAATTGGCAAAGAACTTTTCTCAATTTGGTGTTTTCTATTGCCTGGAGAACCAGAAGAGAACTAGAAACAATATAGCATATTAAAATAGGTTTATAAATAATAGAACTCAGACACCTGTGTATTATAGATTTACATATTGGCTGTGAACCTAAGTGGGGAAAATCTTACCCACTCACACCCTCTGGCTAGATTACCTAGCCTAGTGAGAAGATAGCAAAAATAATTGGCATCTGGATTCTTTCCTGCTTATTCATCATAAATAATGACTTCTTACAGTTAGACTTTACACAGTGCTTTCATGGACCTTATTTCATCTGATCCTCGACGGGACAGGTCTCACAACTTCCACTTTGTGGGTGAGGAGACTGAGGCTCACCAGGGTTAAGGGCTTGCCAGAGGCCACGACAATTGCTGGGGGTGGGGGTGGGGGTGAAGCCAGGCGTTCTGGTGTCTAGTCCAGAGCTGATTTCACTGAACTCTGTAGCTGATCAAAGAAAGCGTCTGTGCCAGCACATAAATCGTAAATGTTCATAAACGCACACACGTACGGCTCACGCACACATACACAGATTGTGGATATCCATAGGTAAAGGCACACGAAATTGTCCCTTCCTATCAACAGCCCTGTGCACTGCGGGGTGGGGGGAGGGGGTGCTTGGAGCAAGGGCCCCTTTTGCCATCTTTCTCCGGGGAAAATGTTTTTCCAAGACGGATAACAACCCTGATTGACTCCGTGGCCTTGATGAGTTTTTGAGAGTTCCTCTCGCCTAGGTGAGATGGGACTTCCAGACAAGAGTTATTTGGTGGAGAAACACTCTCCCTGCCCCATACTCTGCCTCTGTGTTGTTGAAACCTGAGACCAATAGGGATTCTGTGACAGCATCCTCTCTGAATGTGCTAAGCTCCTTGCTGATACTTAGAAAAAGTGACACCATTTCCAAAGGGAGACTCGACTCAAATAGAACAATCAAGATTTTTTGGCCAACTTTGGCCTTGGTAACTGCACTTGGTGTTCGCTACACTTTCATCTCTGGTCTACATTTCTGCCTCTACCTCTTTTTTGTCTTCTCAGTGTCAGAAAGTAAATGGGTAATTATAAATTATTAGTTAATTGTAAATAATTGGATCCATTATAAATACATGGATATCTCCAGAAGTGAGATTTTTGTTTTTTGAGGGGGCAGGGATGGAGAGAGGGCATGGGTAAAGGATATCTTTTCTTCCTTCCCCTTTTGGGAAAAAAAAAAAGAAGAAGAAGATGCCTCATTAAAAAAAAGAAAAGACCATCTCTTTCCCCCGTATCTTTTTAGTTGAAAGAGAATAAAAGTTCATTTAGGAAATTCATTATGAGATGACGGTGTTGTGCTAGGGCTAGAACTTTTGAAAATCCACACAGGATTGATGATTTGGGAAGACATCTCCATGTATGATATATCAAGGTCGTGGTTATCCGTGAATGGTGGAAGCTGAAGAAGGGACTGACAAATCTGATCGGGGTCCTCACTGTGCCCTCTCCTGAGAGTGAAACTTCAAACTGCAGAGAGATTAATTGGTTGCCCAGCATGTATTGAGCACGGATTAGAGGACACAGTCTCGGGTGCTCGGGAGGGTGGGGACCAAACACGCGGGACATTGTTCTTACCCCCCCCCCAAGCCTGTCTATGAACATTAATTCTGTGGTCTGTCCAGATTGTCACACTAAACAAAAAGATCTGGTTAGACTTTGAGTCTGTGATGGCAGAGACTTAGTAGCTCCTGTGGCACCTAGCACCCAGTCTTTTGATACTGATAGGAAACGAAATGATTGTAGCAAAAACTCGTGGTAGTTTAAAGAAAAATTTAGGCAAGGAGCACACGCTTGGATTCTACTGAGGTCTAACTGAGTGCTCCAAATCTTGGCAGAATGTTTCCTGGGCACTTTTGCTTGGAGTTTTCAATGACTTTTGTATTAGAGTCAAGCCTTGCAAGAGGTGAAGAATATCTTTTTTGTGTACACAGTCATGATTTTCTTTTTTCTGAGAGCTAGCTGAGATTAATGTTGAAGATGATTAGTAATATTGACACATTTTCCCTCTGCATTAATGTTTATTTCTATCAATAATTCTTCTTCTTTTTTTTTTTTAAGAATTCTTATTCTACAAATCAGTGTCTCCAGAGAGTAGCGGTAGAGAGGATCAGAAATGAAGTATTTTGTAGGCGGTTGTCTCTCTTCTTCCATGCCATATAGCTTTGGCTCCTTTTGGGGTATAGTGTGAGGAAAGAGATCCGAGGAATTTACAGACTGGTTGTCAAGTCAATTTGAAGTCCATTTGGAAGTTCAGGAACAACGAATGTTGCAAGCACACTTTCCTTCTTCATGGACCCATTCTGTGTGAGTTCTTAACCAACAGGGAAGCAATAACGCTATTTCATTTCTCTGAGTCTCTAACAGAGACTTCACTCCTCAGTTTGCACTCCCCCAGGGTTACATCAAGACAAAGAACTTCACACTTCCAGCAAAATCCAGAAACATAATTGTTTTCCTTCCTATCTTAGAGTAATTAAGACACCTTCTTGTTGAATCACATTACTTTTCCCCTGGCTTTATATTTTTAAGGAATGTTCTCAGAAAATACCTAAGGCTTATAGAAGAACACTTTTATACATATGAAAGAATTAATTTTCCTAGCGACTCTAGAAAGGTGGGCCAAGAACAGATGAGAGTTGAAGGGAACCACAGCGATGATTCATTTTACAGAGCAGGGCAGCAGAGTCCCAAAGATTAAGTGAAGGATCTAAGATCACACAGCTTGGGGGAAAAATAAAGTGAAAGCTAAGCTCTCAAAACCACACAGTTAGTGGCTGAGTCAGAACTGGAACTCAAGCCTCCAGCTCCTGTGCAAAGGAATTCGAGCGGCAAATCTCTCCCTTGTGACCTACTAAATTCAGAAGCAAGAGTGGCAGAAAAGTGTGCATTACAGAAGGTTTTAAGAATAAAATCAAAAGCTTGTTTTGGTGCCAGTCCTAGTGGGGAGCATGTGAGCATGTCCCATATTTCAAGGGTTTCTAAGCAGCATCCCGATGGCAGAGAACATTTAGGTCACTACCTGGAAGCATACCTCCTTTAATTCACCCCTCCGATGGTAGAAGTAAACCTAGGGACCGAGAATTGCTGCGAGACAGCTTTTAAAGTTAAAAGGGCATAAAAAAGAGCTACTCATCAAACCAAATTCATCTCGAATGACTTAAATAGATTTCACAATCTGTTCCATTCTCTAGACAGGATTTAAGAGAAACACCCACTTAATTTGAATTTCAAGGCCGCATCACATCCTGTTAGAGAATCCAAATAGCCAATAGCATGACCTGAATCTTGTTACTGGGGATATTTAATTTCGAGGTCAAAGGTCGCCGAACAGCAATGAACTACAGGGAGGATCGACTGAACCCGTGTACAGCTCCCGGCCGTGAAGACTATTCACCTCCGTACCCCAGTTAGGCCGCTCATTCTTTCCTACTCATTTCCCCTCTTCGATCAGGGGTTCCTGGCTCTGTTTAGAGACGTACAAATCCCGCCTCACCCTTTATTAGATCTGCTGTGTTCAGCTCTTCAGCTGCCCGTTCTTTTCTGGCGAGCCGTCCTTTGATTCACATTCACTTCTTTGAATGGACGTGGGTTGACTTTGAACGTCTCCGGGCCTGATAGGGCCGCACTTGGGTGCAGCAGCTGTTTAGAGCCCGACTGGGCAAAGTCATCCCTGAAATAGGAGCGCGGGACAGCGGGAAGTCTCCCCGAGCAAAGGCGAGCAAAGGCGAATCAGGTATCCCTGTTGAGGATGGTCTGTGAGGAAGTAACTTGCCTGATTCTTGGCCCCTGGTGCTAGTCCCCTGAATTTCCAAAACCCCTACTGCAGAGGAGCAACTTCTGCTCCTCTCTCCCGGGTGACTTGTCCCCTCTCCTCAGACCCAGAGAAAGCCGGCTGAGAGGAGGGCTTCCTATGGGCTCCCAGGTCTGCAGAGTTGCTCAGGCCCCTGTCACAGAGCACCCCATTGTTTACCTGTTGCTTGCCTCCCCACACAAAGGGAAAAAACCAGAATGCAAATCCTCTGCCTCAGAAATTCACTCGAAGCTCAGAACTCTGAACATAAGAGATTCCCCTTTAAAGCGGTCCCCTTTGTGTGGATTTGCCTGTAGCCACGACGCCTTATTTGTGGAGTTCTTTTTATTTTTTAGCTTCTTTGGGAGGACATTTTCTTTTCCCTCTGACAGGATGCTGTACTT